CCTTTTAGAAATCAGCTGTGGGGCAGAGCCCTGGGAAATTCGTTCATACATAGACTTTACGGCAAATCTACACACTCTAGCTTCATTTTGATTTGCCTTATAATCATAATAATCAGTATTAAATTTTGTGAAAATCCTTTATATACGATTACCACAGATATGAATAAGAGATTAGTCTAAAAGGTCTTTATGACATCACAATTTGTCTGTCTTCAATCAAAACCCTAAGACCAAGTCGTACTTTCATCATGAAACTCAAGAGGACGTTTAGACCTACTCATGTTATAATGTTAAGTCATAATCCCTTATTTTTTCTGCTCAACGTTCCCTTAAACCATGTTTAAATTGAAGTATTTTTCAAGCAAAACTGTTACTCAAGTAAATACAATTTCTAATTATGAGTGTAATGATCCAAACAGATTTTAGATTTCAATGCGTGTATGCCAAAGAAAATAGACGTATGTTTAGGTACGTGAATGTTATTGAGTCATATACTCGATGGTGGACATTATGGGACACACTGTACAGTACATGTTTAATGACGTCACTAGAGCGTAAATTGAAATGCGTGTCTCCGGTTATGTGGCAATATAACAATATTGTTGGAGAGGTCAGTTATGCGTAGCCTACTACGTGTTGTTTGTATTCTATTCATTAAAGTAACAATTCACTATTAGAGGGTGAACCAAAACCTTAACCTAATATTAGTAGCCCTAAATGACTAAAAACCAATTAGATACTTGATTACCTTTGATGTGCTGTAGGCTGTAGAAATGTGAGTGTTGACAATTAATGTCTTTATGCTAGGAGTTTTGTAATATTTAGGCTTGTAAGAGTCTTGCATTCGTTACGATTTTTAGTTTTAGACATTTTTTATCCTCGATTATCGACGATTGGTTCTCGATTCTCGATCCTCGAATGTTTATAATCGGTTCTCAATTATCTACTCTCGATTTTCGGATCTCGGTTATCGATTCTCGAATCGTGATGTTTGACTCTCGATTCCGAGAGCCGATTATCAATTCTCAATTGGTTTCCGAATCTTGGTTCATAGTTATCGGCTTTCGATGTTAGATTCCGTTTTCGATTCGGCTATCTACATTTCTGTAATAATTCTGGATTTTTAGTTTGCAGTTCTAGGTTCTATATTCCGGATTTTGGTGTCGATTTTTGGTTTCAGTTTCTTCCGCTTTTTGGTTTACGTTTCTCAATTTTCAATTCAAAATTTTAGATTTTTCATGGTTCATAGGTTTTCATTTCCAGTTCCGAATTTTTACTTTCTAATTCCGATTTTTCTATTCTCGATTCTTGATTTTCAGTACTTAACACTCGATTGTCCATGTTTTTCAGTTCTCAGTTTTCGGATCTCGATTCTTGGTTCTCCATTAACAATACTTGATCTAGGCTGTTTTCTAAGAGTTTAACATTACAGTACCAGATTACTATATACAACCCAGTTTTGGAATCCTGTCTGTGAGCATCCTTTAAAAAACATAATTATACTCTGTACAATATAACCTGTCTCTATACCATCCGTATACCTAGGGAGTGGCCAATGGTTTAAGACCAGGTTGACCAAGGTCCAGGAGACAGGTTCCATAAAGCAGACTGTAATATACCCTTCCATCTACCTAGGGAGTGACCAATGGTTTAAGGCCATGTTGACCAAGGTCCAGGAGAGCAGGTTCCATCAAACATACTGTAATATACCCTAGCTGAATCTTCAAAAATTTCCGTCACACAAATATTCTAACGATTCTGAATAGTTCCAGGTTCTCCTCTTAGCTCTTGTAGCCCTTGTGTACTCTGAGTCTCCTCCGCACCCCGCGGTACCTTGGCAGCCTCACACGTTCACGGGGGGCTCCGCCCCACTGCCCCCCATCCCTGGGTTCCCTGCTGGGTTCCCTGGAGGGTTCCCTATCCCTTATGCCTTCGGATTCCCCTACAACCCCGCCTACTACTTACAGCTGATTGCTCAATACAACGCGGCTCTACAGTCTGCAGTAGGCTCCGCATCAGCTGCTACCCTGGCTAACATTGCTGCGATACAAAACTACGCCACACAGTTCCGTGAGTAACTTTATCTTGTGTTGCATTATGTGGGTTTTTTTACATTTTAGAGTGGGTAAATGTTGTTAATTAATAGTTTTAGATAGCCTCAGTGTATCAATCTTTTTTTAAATACGTGAAGGAGATTTCTACGGAACACTACTCTTCCGTTAATTATGGATGGATTTTTACAAACGAAGTTTCAAAATTAAGTATTTTTTGTGTAGACGCCCCTTTCACCAACTCCTGTAATACAAGTCCTCGGGCTTTGCCCCACAGGCCATTAAAATCCCAATGTATTTCTTAAGAAGAAAAGATTTTGTTTACAAACGAATAATTTGTATTAATTACAGCTGTTCATAGTAAACACATGATACACAATAGAGCGTTCGTTTTCAGTTTCCATAACTGGAGTGGAGTGATTTCCACTCTAACATCTCATTATTATTATGGGGATAACATTATCTTTGGGATGGCTCTTTTAAGTAATCAGAAATTATGACTGTTATTCGTTTTGAAATAACGCCTGCAGTACTTTGCAATTGCTCGAATTCGAGCAACAGGTGCACTAGTAAGTTTATATTACCTGTAAGTAAAATTTAAACAAATAAACTCAACAAAAGAAAGCAATTCATTTATGATCGTTCGAAACCCCAGAATTGTTAAATAATTTATCAAGGGTGCGAATAAGGCCATTCTATACAAACAAGGGAGACCTCTTTGGGTTCCAAAACGGAATATTATTTAGCTTTAAAAATACCGTAGGATTTGTTATGTATCATCACAAAAGTTTTTTCACGTCGAGGTTTATACAACAAAACTATGATATTCATATATATATTTGACTAAAATATGGAGTAGACTGGTTCGTTGTGGTACTTGTATGCCAAATGATGGTAAATGTTATTCCTTGAGCAAAGCTTGGTCATCAGCGGTATGTCTAATCATAGACGTCTTGTTTGTTGCAGCTTACCAAGTCCTGTTTCCTCGACAACTGCCTGCTTGATGTCTTCATTGTATCAGCGTTTCAGCCATTTGTGAATGTAATTTTCAGTATATAATAAAAAATGTTGTATCAAAAATTTAAATGAGATACCATACTACCTGTCATACTAATTACATTAAGTGATAAGTTATCCATCATAAATTTGTAAAGTGAATGTAAAGGATTTATTATTTTTAGTTATTTATTTTTATTCATATCAACGGTCAAACCAATAGGCTACATAAATATGACATAACGTAATATAAGTTTAAAAAAATAAACCGTTTGAAAATCATTTTAACAGGAAACTTGTAGTAAATGTTCAATAAACATAAGAATAAATAAAACAACAAAAATATATAAAGTATAACAATACAATAGGATATAAGATTTAAAAATACAATATAAATAAACAAGATTTAAATAACAAGATATAACGATAAAAAACAAATAAATATAACAAAGTATAATAAATAACAATATAAATAGGAAATGTAACAATAGCAGAATGAATAAATAGACAATAGATGAATGAAGAATTGAATAAGAAAAGAGAAAGAAACACTCTGGAAAGCATAACATGGATAAGAACAACAAAACAATATATAGAGGTATTATGATTCGAAGGACTGTTCACAAAATCAATGGCTCTTATACTCGTAAGTATTTTTCCTAATATTGTTTGTTATAAATTTTGATTATAAAACTAAATACGTGAAGTATGGAATCCGTTCTACTTTCAAATTTTTAAAGAATAAGAAATAAGTAGTTTTAAGTGTGCTGATGTGTCCTGACAGTGCTGCTGTCAAATATAATCATGCCAAATTGGGATTGCGACTGACAGCAAAGTCCAGCATCTGTTGCAAACGAGTATACTCTTTTTGCAAATATGTCTTCTAGAAAACACATTGTTTTTAAATTGTTCATCATAAATAATAACAAAAACTAACTTTCATAATTACTAGAGGTCGTCCAGTGGTCGAAAACTCGACCAAAAATATGTAATGTACAGAATTTTCTATTTTCACCCCACGCTGTAAATAACACGTGATTGGAATTTCTTCCATTTTTTCTGATTATACTTCCTGGTTATCTCGGCACCAACAAGGCAACCCATAAGGCCCATGTTAAATTCTTTTAAATTTAAATTTCATTTTTTGTGCTTATTTTTTGGCCTATTTTAGTTTATAAAGTGGTTCTGCAGTCTGCACATCTACATAAAAACATATTTCTAACAAAAAGCATAGATTTTCTCAGCGGTGCACACGAGCTGAGAAAAAAGGTTTTAAAGAAACATACTTGTCTATTAATATATAGATTTGCAAAGGGAGCTTTCCAACGACCCATTAATTAATAAAATCGAAGTAGATATGTAGATTTAGTTGTACAAATATTTTTAAAACTGAATTATTATAAGACTACTAGATGGCTTTACATATTTTTTTTATAAAAGAGGTCTAGTCTAAAGCAGTTTATTATAACTTAAATGGAACATGGAACCAACATAATGGTATATTTATGATTTTATGGAGTATTGTGTTACATTTTTTTTACATATGTGTCTTATCATGAGACATGTTTCATATATGTTACATTTTAACTAGGCCATTACTTCTCTATGATTTAACAAACCACTAAGGGCGTAACGTTAGCCATTTTGTTAATTAAGTTTCAGAGGCTTTCTCAGGTCTACAGGTAACAAATTGGCAAATTCATACTGCTTTGTCAACTAAAAATGTCATGAATGTAAAGATAGTACGTTTGAAATTGCCAAAGTTTAAAACAAATCTTACATTGAAAAATAAAACTTGACCATGAAAAATCAATATTGAAACACATGCTTTATTTACCAAACCAGTGGAAAGTTTAGCAACCGTTTCTACAGAAAGAGGTAAGGTTACCTCAAGGCTATTTTGTTGTTTATGGTCTCAAGTTTCTCGACATTTTAGACTAATTAGTGCAGGTCGAGAGTGACATTAGTCTAAACTAATCAGTGCAAGAAGACAGCAGCCATGGACTCTCTGCGAATGGTAATGTAGCAAATTATGATACATTTAAAACACTGATTGTGTATTGTTTAATGGTTTATGATAAGCTAATCAGTTAACATACTGTAAATGTGAGTTGTTGAAAAGTTACATGTCCTTGTAAAAATATTATTAGGTTTAGGGGAAAACATTGTTTAACCTTTCCTACATTTTTATAAAAGAATTAGATTGCTATAAAATATTACCATTCTATGATGGAAGAGTTTTAATATTTAAAAGCAATACACTAAAATAAAGCAACAATGGACGCGACCTTTAGCTGAGTATTTATAAAATTCATCCTAGTTGTGTATGTTCCACACCAAAAAACTGTAATGGGCCGAACTGTTTATATGGTGTGATCTTCATTGGATGAGAGATAAACTGTATCAGCAATCTGACACATACTTTCTCCCATTGGCTTGTCAACAACCTTTATCACGGGTAAACGGTGAGGGTAACTAACTACAGTATGCCATTTTTTTTTTAGGGAAAATCACAAAATTAGCAATTAACTTTTGGTCACATAAAAAGTTATTTACGTACCTCAATCAGGATAATAAAAGCAGACCATTTAACACTTATTTGCATAACTCCTTTCCATCTTTTGTTTACACTTTGACTATGGTTGAAAAATTACAGCTGTTTATTTACTACACATTAAAACAGGTATAAGCAAGTCGGTCAGCACTCAGCTCAGCAGTGACAGGATCTTTGAAGGCATCCTTTAGGAATTAATCAAAGGTCCAGGGGAGCGAATACCTTGAGAAAATACACTTTTTATCTGCTACAGTATTCCCCACTGCGTAAAATTAAAAGCTTTAAAATTACACCTCAATCGTAAAAATCTGTTGAGTAGGTCGGCTGAAAAAGGGGCGTTACAAAGTACCCGATATTGTATAAAGCATAGAATACACATTTAGTTAGAGATTACATAAGATAAAAGTAATAATAACCAAGTACAATCTGTGAATGAATAGATGGTACCTCATTACTTCGTGTTGATGAACCATTACGATCTTAAAAACGTACTTGGGAACAAAACAAATAATATATTAATGGTATGTATTAAAAGATAAAACGCAGATATTGGTAAATTTATAATGAAATGTTTTAAAAACTATTAAATAAGCCCTTTTTACTGATCCAAATTAAATAATTAAAGTGATCAATACTAACAATAAACTAGAGGACCGAAAAATAACAAAACAAGAGTTGGCTACTTTCCTTTAGAAGAATTAGGACAAAAATGTTTTAACTTAGGGAAAATGAACAACCACTCCAATAACATATTGAAAAATCTTGTAGGATTATCACTCGAATGAATTATTTATTTTACAAAAAGTTAATTTTAGTATGGGAGGCTAAGATTTGAGAAATTATTTTATTTTTATTTTTTTATTTCGTTTTATTGCTTAGAATTTCCTCTTTACATTGATATAACACTAAGGTATTTTTTTACTATCCCTAAAATATCAATGAGATTATGAAAGCATTGGTGAGTGGTCAAATGTAATCACTATTTCTTCTCATTGATTTCTCGAAACACGATTTACACAACTTGTTGTCACAATTTGTTTAAACTTTTGGGACACATATCTAAAAATCTATAAGCGATACAAGGACCAAATTTCACACCATGTTTATACAACCACTTAAGTTGGTTAGCTTAGTTAGTTAGTGGTTAGTTAGTTACTTACTAGTTAGTTAGTTAGTTACTAGTTACACAGGGATTTTATTTGTTATATATTATGGTATCTTTATGGTATTTCATATGGTATCAATCTTCACCCACTCATTCATATACACTACCTAACAATTCACATCTTAAATTGCCATGTAACTCAACGTCATTTTTTAAGAGACAACTGCATTACACTTTTCAATCTACTTCCTACCTCTCTTCAGCTTAAGTCGGACCTAAGAGCTGCTACCTTGCCCATGAATGTGTCCCTAATGGGTTTAATTAAGTTTTAAGAAGCTTGTCATTCACTAATCTAGTTTGATTGACGCACAATTGTTTTATTTTAATTTTAGACGTAAATATATATTTTGTTTTGTTTGACATGATTAATGCAAATTTGTATTATTGTTACTTTCGTTGAATAGATGAGTTATTGAGTTGTTTTAGTGAGACAAAACTTAAATACCCTCGCCGCAGCAAACCTGCCGACTAAGCGAATTTCCATTTGTCTGAATTGATTTTCAGTTAAATATATTTTAATAATTTTAGGTTTAACGAGTACCTAGGTTTGCTGCTACAAGGAAACTAATAAAGTGTGTTTTTGAGTAAAATATTGATAGCTTAGTACAGAATAATTAAATTTGCCAAGTTTGATCAAAATATATTCATAAACAAGCAAACTACAACATTTGACAATATTCTCCATAAGAATAACATGGGAATTTTAAATTTTAAATTTTTTAAATTTTCTCCGTTACTAATAATCTAACAAAAGTACTTTTATATACTAAATTATTTATTTTTTTAAGCTCTTTAAAAAGGTCTAAAGAGAAATCGGGAAATTTTGTGTTTTGAGGGTCAAAAGTGAGAAAAACCAATTTTGACCCCATAAAACCCCCCGTAAAGCCCCGTTCCCATGGTCCGATCGTGCTGGTTCGCGAACTCATTCAAGTTTATCCCGCTTTACACCTTTAAATCAAATTTCATCAAAATCGGAAAAAAATTACTCAAGTTATCGCGTTCACGGACGTATATATATATATATAAGTCTATATATATATATATATATATATATATATATATACATATATAAAAATTTGAACGAATGGTGTTTTTGGCCTCTGGGGACATCAAAATGAAAAAGTAAATCGGTCCCGGGTCTAGGTCTTACCGTGCCACCTACGGTAATAGCTACTTCCCTATAGGGAAATTCGCTAAAACTGCAAAATTCTTCATGATTTTGTATAAAAAAATATTTTTATGGATAGTAAATAAATGGAAAATCCCTGTTTAAGGAACTAGCCAATGAGTTTATCTTTGAAATAAAACAAAGATTGTGACTCTACCTCCAATAGATTTTTTAGATATGTGTCCCAAAGTTAACATTACGTTCCTTAAGTCGGAATGTCCTTGTATTATAAAAAAAATCCGTATCTCTCTAGCGAAAAAAACTTAGTGACAGTCTTAAGTGGTGTGTAAAACGTTTTCGGACAAAATCCTAGCATTCTAGGTGGAACATTAAAAATAAACCTCTGATATTACATCCTAATGTTTTCAATGTTATCCATTGTAATATTCTTCTTCCCCAGATGCTCGGGTTGCTATTCCTGACCCTACTGGGAGTTACTCAGGGAAGACCTCACTTCGGCTTTGGAGGCATTGGCATTGGAAGGTTCGGAGGGTTTGGAGGTTTTGGAGGCTACGGTCCCGGGTTCGGATACGGCTACGCTCCAGGTTTCGGATATGGCTACGGTGGATATCCATACATTGGAGGAGGTCTTGGCTTCGGTGTTGGACTTGGACCCTTTGGCATCGGTGGATTCGCCGGGATAGGTAAATATTTGGCTCGAATTCGAGTAGATTAGTGTTTAGTAGAGACATTTAATTTTATGAACATTGTGTACAGTAACTACCTCCTTTAGTAGATCCAGCTTGTCTCAGAGTAGATTTGATACCAGTGGAATTCGGTTCAAATTCCACCAATTAATTTTAGCTATGTTAATTCCACGTTCCTTTAGGGTTAGGCTTAGCCTAAAAGTGTAGTTCTGGTGTCCTAGGATGTACAGGTGGGACGTAAATGTTTTAGTACATTACCTGCTCACGTAAATTGTGTTTGAATACAAAACATATCCAAAAAATCCACAAAAACAACTACTTTTCTCTGATGTAAAATCTGAACAGCAAATTCATGCTTTAGACAGGAGGTTTAGATGAGATTCTGTATTGAGCCTTTACATCAGATCATTTCGTTAATTTATTTTAAAACTAGGTTTTTATAAACTATTATGTATATAGGCTATATCTACCCGTATAAAACCATATTTATGAAGTTGTATTGGATTGTTTTTTGTGCTGGAGTGGTTTTAAAAAAAAATACCCCCGCCGCAGCAAACCTGCCGACTAAGCGAATTTCCATTTGTCTGAATTGATTTTCAGTTAAATATATTTTAATAACATTAGGTTTAACGAGTACCTAGGTTTGCTGCTACAAGGAAACTAATAAAGTGTGTTTTTGAGTAAAATATTGATAGCTTAGTACAAAATAAATAAATTTGCTACAATAAATAAGTTTGATCAAAATATATCCATAAACAAGCAAACTACAACATTTGACAATATTCTCCCTAAGAATAACATGGGAATTTTAAATTTACAATTTTTTAAATTTTCTCCCTTACTAATAATCAAACAAAAATACTTTTATATACTAAATTATTTGTTTTTTTTAAGCTCTTAAAAGGTCTAAAAAGAAATCAGGAAATTTTGTGTTTTGAGGGTCAAAAGTGAGAAAACCCAATTTTTACCCCATAAAACCCCCCGTAAAGCCCCGTTCTCATGGTCCGATCGTGCTGGTTCGCGAACTCATTCAAGTTTATCCCGCTTTACACCTTTAAACCAAATTTCATCAAAATCGGACAAAAATTACTCAAGTTATCGCGTTCACGGACGTATATATATATATATATATATAAGTCTATATATATATATATATATATACATATATAAAAATTTGAACGGATGGTGTTTTTGTCCTCTGGGGACATCAAAATGAAAAAGTAAATCAGTCCCGGGTCTAGGTCTTACCGTGCCACCTACGGTAATAGCTACTTCCCTATAGGGAAATTCGCTAAAAAGAAAAGATAAGTTTAAAAATGTACTTAGGAAACCCTCACTATATAACATTTTTCAGTCCTTTTTAGGCTTTTGGTTGTACAGGGTATTTATAAAATAGCTACTTCCCTATAGGGAAATTCGCTAAAAATCTTTACAACTTAACATAGCCATAAAACCCTAATTTCTCCATTTTAAGCTATGAAATAGTAATCAAAGTGTAGGTAATATTTCCAAGTTTAAGTACTGTAAGAAAGGGGATTAACCCCGTACCCACGGTGCTCATCTATGCAGACACTCTGTTCACATTACACTTAGTCGACCAGTTGGTGTGAACAGAGTTGAACAGTAGCATGAGCATCGATTTACAAATTCCTTTCCCAGCTGATGTGAGCTAGGCGATGACCGGTAGGGCTGACTTCCAAGAAACACCGTTAACCTATTAGCCACACACCCTATCGGTAATCAGCCAATGAGAAGGGCTAATGATGAAGATGGAGGGGTCAAGACTCTTGGAGCTGGAGGATCTGAAGGAAAACATCAAGGAGATCACCACGGGCCACCGGAGAAAGAAGATCGGGAGTTTGGGAGTGCGTGTATCGGTGTGTGTGCTTCTGGGACAATAGACAGTATGTAGAAAGAATAAAATATCTAACTAACACTTTGTCAAACATAAAAGTCATATAATTTGTCAGTAACTAATTCTTTTATATTTTCTATTGATTTTCTTTTCTTGTAAATTTAACGTTGTAAATTAATTTATCTTATTATTGTTGTTTTTTGCATTTTCAAAGTTTTCTTTTGCTGTTGTAACACTTTTAACTTTTGTTGTTTTCGTAATTTAAATTTTTGTTCATTACACGTTGAGTAACACCCTTAAGCAGTCTTATGTCTCATTAACCTAACACCTCTTAACTAAGCTAAGCGAGTGAATCATTTTAGGAAACTTAAACTTAAAGTGAGGCATGGGACTCGCATGGTGGAGGCAGCCGCACGGCGAAGGCTGTCTTTGCATTTTAACTAAACAGTAACGATCCTACATTTATTTTAATAAATTATCTTGAAACAAATTATATGACTTGTGAATTATTTTAGTTTATTTATAGTCAATTATAGTCACTTAAGGCAATATCAGACTCACAAATCGTAAAATGTATAGGGTGTTAGTTTAAGATAAAACTTAAAGATTATGAACAAAACAATATAGGCCACTAACTCAAATAAAAACACTTATCTTAGCTAGGCCCATAACCTTTATAAAACCACCAAATGTAACAATAGCTTATGTAGGTTTGTCACATTACTAAAACTTAAAAGATAATTTATGGATTTAGATTTTGAAATTGTTAACATTGACATATATAGCTTAAACAAAACTGAGGCTTTACAACTAGCTTGTCAATATAAAATACAACTCCCACCCATCCCTGAAACCGAAACCCTAGCCAACCTAAGAACAAAATTAGCTTTCACCAAAGATGTTTTCAAGACTGCATTTAGACATCCAAGTTTTGCTGAGGCATTAACAGACTTGTTCTTTAACAACATACTAGAAGACAAAACAAAAGAACAGTTTAGAGATTTGCTAAAATTCAAGAAAATCCTTCAAGAACCAACATATGATACTATAAACACTTCTGACGACCTAACACAACCTGAACCTGAACATTCACAAAACCTTTATGAAAACAGGTCAATAATAGAACACGAACAATTGTTACATAGCTTTAATTCGTTAAACTTAAATCAAGAAACCCATCAAAATCACAACCAACTAGGAACCCCTAACACATCAACACAAATAGCATCTCACCCTAAATCATATATAACCAACAAAAACATGGCTGATGAGTCAAAAGAGAAACTTCCCCTAATAAAAGCAGGCACATACTCAGGTCTTCCTTCAGAAGATGTACATGAATTTATTCAAAAATTCAATATTGCATCAAGGTGCAACCATTGGTCCGAAAAAACTAAAATTGAACTTTTCCCCACACACTTAACGTCTACCCCGTATAAATGGTTTGCACTCTACAAACATGAAAACAAAGAAACTAGTTGGGCAAACCTAGAGTCTGAATTTATTAAAGCATTCAGCCCAGTTGCATTAATTGATGACTTACAGACGGTCCTTGAAAATCGAACACAAGGAGAAAATGAATCTCCAATGCAATTCCTATACGAAATAATTCACCTTTCCCACAGAATAGATCCCAATATGAATGATGCAAAAATAATAAAATTCGTAATTCAGGGAATAAAACCGGAGATTTGCAATGACCTAGTGAGAATGGAAAACAACTCACTTAAACAGCTAAACGAAAATCTGCTAAAAATTGAATCTCAAAGAGCTATTAGGAATAAAAATCAGAGAAAATACCAAACCTCAGCTGAACGCGTTACCCTAATAAAACCTCAAACAAAGTCGGTAACATATGAAAATGACGAATTAGACAACTTAAAATTAGAACTTAGGGACATAAAAGATACATTATTAAGCCTCAAGGTCAAACCTGATGAAACAAACTACCCTAGGGACAACCCACACAAAGATACTTATCATCGTTCAAGATCCACACAAAGAAGAGACATTTCCCCTCATCCCAGATATGACAGGTCAGCTGAAAAATATAGGCCCAGAAGCACTTCTCGAAACTCACAAAATTTATCGAGAAGCTCTTCACCTCACAATTCACATCACTCCAACAGACAACCTATCCCAAGAACCAGATTAAATTATAGATCACCACACCGATCACAAAACACTCCACTCTTTTGTCACATATGTAACAAAAACAATCACGCCACAGAAAATTGTTGGTACAATGCTAGAGCTAACCGTAGGAATCCAAAATACTCAAATACACCTTCCAAATTTTGTGCATATTGCAAAAGAAATAACCACACCATTGACCAGTGCTTTAGGCGTCCTGCTAAAAGGGAACAGTTTCCAAAAAACTTCTAAAGCTGGGAGGTCAACTACCACAAAATAGATATTTGGCTTCCCAAAATAAACAAACACACACGAGATATTTCTGGAACACAACTAAACGTTTCCCACATTTCAACAAATCATCAATCTTAGAAGCATCCAATAATTCAAAATGTAATATATTTTCACCATTAAGCCCTCAATACCAATACAACTTTCCAACAATTGAGGATTCGTTTCGTGTAAAACATAAAGTTACCCCAATAACTAAATCACTTCCTCCAAGAACCACAATAACATCAAGAAATATTCAACACACACAACTCGAGAACCAGACCAACATCATTCCTACAGCTAAGGCTGAACCTAAGACGACCTTGCAGCCAGCTGATGGAGAAGATAACGCACCACAACAAACGCCTACGTCACAAGCGTCGACCCACTGCTGCCTAGGAACACCGACTCAGCAACTGACGTCACAGCACCGCACAGCTGATCAGCCCAAGACTCAAGATGTGGCACGTACATCTGTTAACTCTTCACGACCTTCAACGTCGGATGACAACAACAGCTTCAGTACGAGTACATCACTTCCAGGAACCTCTACGGATAGACACGTGGATTCATCAACTGCAGGAGTTTGTTTAACTGCTAGCGAAGCAACAACCCTCCAGAATCAAATCGACAAAGAAGTTTTCCAACAAAGTTCTAAACACCTAAATTTGAGAACCCTAATTAAATGTGATAAAAGACAATCTAAATGCACACTATCGGATATTTATGACTTAAT